AGAAATTCCTATACTAAGTTCGCAAAGCTTTACGGGAAAAGAATTTGTTGACTTTATGTACATTGCAGAAATGCTTCGCACCGATAAAACGTGCCATGCGTTATACTTTACGCAGTACTCTGTAGAACATAGGTTAAGCAGACATTCTTGAACAGCCTGTTTTTATGGATTGCAAAATTCGAGGTTGTGCCAGTCTGGCAACCCCATCGATGCCCCTACTATGACGTCGGCTGCTCTACGGTACTCAGGAATATGGATTGCCTTATTGACAGTCTTATTATCGTTTCTTGCTACAGAGTACAGACTAACAATTGCACCGTAATCAGATATACCCCTTGTCAGCGGAAGGAAATGGATCGCTTAAAAAAAGTAATGTTCTGGTAAAAACACGTACGAAATTCAGCAGCTGTCAAGTTAACGGTGCTGCATCGTACTCGAAAGTACTGTGTATTCGAATGTCCAGCGGAGTGAGCGGACTGCCTTGACAGCCGGAAGTGTATTTCAAGAGGAAGTGGTATACGTAGACAGAAGTGTACTGGCTGTGTTCGTTTGTACAGAAGTGTTGCCTCAACGCCCGGGATACAGTACAGATTTACATAAAATAATGTCGTTTAATACGAAGAAAACGAACACGATCGCGCATTTCATTGCAAGATATGCTAAATTATTATACAAGATAATTAAGACTTGTGCTCGAGCTGGCGGCTGTGTAAACAATACAGAGATTCAAAGACGAACAACCGCAATTTGCGTACTAAAATATGTAGCAGCCAGTAAAAAAGAAAATGTATTGTCCGCAATCACCGTTAAAAATAAACAAAAAACACAAAGAATAAAATGTGTATTTACAGTAAACTAAAGTAAATTTATTTAACTGCTCGCTGTTGTGAAATAGATTTAATACCACTTGAACAATTATATTTTTATAAATTGTCAGGTTTTGTTTTCGTCGATAGTTTTGCCTTTTCGGCATGCGAAATGTTAGGTAATGAATGGGATATGTCCGCATTCCCCTATGATTTAAAGCTGCATCAGCAACAACCTGCGCGATAATGCCAGGAAATACCGTCATATCCAGATATGCATCGGGATAGACATTGTTTGCTTTGCGCAGATGGTCCGTCTCCCCAAAGTGCCGGAACTTGTGTACTGGTGTAAAATGTTGCTGTATATCAAATGGCGATTATTATGCCGATCATGTCGAGGTCCTTACCCGAAACATCCTTCTACTGCATATAAAGTAGTTTGCCTGTATGTAAACAACGCACTGCAAGCGACTGCAGTAATGTTTGTCTCAATTATGAAACCTTCCATTTATCACGTTTTTGGAGGCACTTTCCATAACCTAACCTTGAACCAATATTTTAACAATCGGTTTAATTTAACGGACTAGAAGTTTAATATTAATTTACTGCTTGGATATTGCCTCCCAACATACGTACGCCGTGGTACGAGTTTCAGGAAAATGGCGCTTGTCGGTATCGATACATTTGATTCGGGTATGTGTTGAGACACTCTTTGCTTTTGTCAACCACATATTATATATTACAAATATATGGTACCACTATTTTCCTAACAGACTTGATCTGCATCAGCTTTCAGCAAATTAGTGAAGTGCTTTTTTTGGTTTGACTTTAATTCACGCTGCCAATCATAACGAACAATTTTCAGCAGTCAGTTATCGTTCGACTGCTGTTTTCCACAAACAATCAGAAATTTCTTAGTTTGATCAAATTTATTTTTTATGGTTTTCCGTTAGGTTCACTGTCGTCGAGCTTTATGGATAATCAGACCGCGCGGCAAAATATATCCAGCGTGGAGGAAGCCAGTAGCATTTCCATGTGGGCTGACCTTTCGCTAAGTATCGCCGTGCTAATTACCAACCTGCCAGTTTTACTGATTTTCTTGATATCAAAACCGCTGCAGACGCCATTTGCAGTTTACATCATTTTTCTGCTTGTCTTCAATCTACTGACCTACTGTATTGTGGTCAACCCGATAGAAATATCCAGCGATGCCATCTCCAGCGCCTGGGCTCTGAATATGCCGGCATGCATCGTCAACATTTACGGGAACTGGGTCATCACGGGAATGTCATCGTATGCGCATCTCTTAATCGCTGTCAACCGTGTGTGGGCCATAGTGTCACCGGTCTCCTACCGACAGCGTCATACAAAACTGTTAGCGGTCACTTTATGCTGCGGTGTCTTAACTGTACTGCACGTACTCTGTCTGCCGAATATTTTATATAATCAGCTGATGTATTACCCGGGATCGAATCCTTGTGGACTGGACGACACCCACCCGGCGCAAGCCATCTGGATTTTTGTTGATTTCTTCCTGGTCTTCGATATTCCGGTGATTGCGGTGGTGGGAGTGTGTCCGTTTATTTTGTACAAAACTATCCTACTACGGAAGGATCCTTCGAAGAACCGGAAAAAGGAAGGAGCGAGTAATATCAGCGGGGTGCGAGGTGGACAAGGAGAATCCTCGCGGGCGCTCTTTACCTTAACGGTTATGACCACAAGCCTTCTTGTTTCATGGGGTCCAAATCAGTTGTATTGGACCATTAATTTTTTCCACCATTTGGAACGCCCGTCTTGGCTGTATTTGGATCAGTTATACAGTATTCAGGCGGTGGTGGATCCTATAATTTTTGCATTATGTCTGCCTAATGTCCGTATATTAATGTTGCGCGTGATAAACTGCCACGCGAACAAATAGCACCATTCATGATGCACCTTTTTGTCACAAAGCCATTTTGAAATTTGCTTGCATTCATCCAGTCGAATATAATTTGTTATGTCTTATGATATTATTATTTAAAAGCTCCTGGGTACAGAAACTTGAGAATTCGAGAGGTTTCATGTATCACCATACATTATTCGAGTTTGGATGTACATTATTTATAAATTTACCGCAAACATTCGTAAATAAACTTCTCATATCTCCGTGGACGTCTACGCACCGTTTGATTTACGGTTGTCTTTAAATGGTGGCCGTTATCTTAAAAGCAAAAGATATGGTATGTACAGCTCCATGAGGCTAAATAAGTAACGTGAAAATTACTGCAAGTTAACAACCATAATATGGTATTAAAACAGATAAGCATTAAGCACACAAAGCATTAGCAGATAAACATTAAGATAATCATAAACAACTTGCATATACAATACTAATAATCACAGCAGTATTCAAAGTTGCTGGTCTGTGCGAAGATAACGAATACATGAATACATTCCGAAGACAGGCTCGTTCAGACCCAAATACCTAGGTCCTACGTGCTTGTGATAAGGTCATTAAATGCTAGTAAGAAGAAAGCTCTAAAATTATCTGGCGACGCACTTTAAAATATAGGTAGATAACACGTACAGAACTGTTTGCTAATCTGTGCAGTCTACTGGTGGAAGCTCAATTTGGAACTCGAGCAAAGACCGTAAAACACCACTTAACAAACACGAGGTCCTCATGAGATTAGAAACTGCTACGTGCATAGTGCGAATAACCTAAAACGCGAACACAGGAACTCCTTTACTTTAAACGGAGCAGAAAACCTTGCAGTCAGCGTTCGTATCTATCTGCTTCTTTGCCAAGGATCAGTGAAAAAACATTAACATCAATTCCCACTTGTTCGGCTTTAATTCAGCTGATATTTGATCGCTTTCGAAAATTTGATTTTATTGGAGGAATAGGTATGATCGCTGAATGACGATGAACCCTTACACTCAAGCCGTCGAATCCGTTTGGGGATGGCAGAGTCAACAATCCACCATCGCCAATAGAGCCAGACATATTTTCGGGAAAGACATTTTAAGCGACGTCACTTTCCGGCTCCAACAACCCAATAGCCCCGTTGTGGACATTAAAGCGCATAAGTGGGATAACGGACGGAGTGTAGACGAAGTTTGAATAACTAGCATTCTAAGAAAAATGTCCAGAAATACTGACTGTGTATTTGATGTTTACAGATTTCTGTTAGCCATGGGTAGTGCGGTGTTTGAAACGATGTTTTACGGCACAGTCAAAGAAACCAAAAACATCATTAAAATCACTGACATGGATCCAGAAACATTTAGAATTATTTTAAGGTAGACCTGCTGATCTGAATTACGTCTGAACAGGGTTTACGTATGTCGTTCATCTGCATTCTGCAGTAATTTGGTGATATGCATCTATCTTATAGGTTCATCTACTATGACCAGATTGGGCCGTTCAACAAATCGACCTCATTCTCAGCACTTTATGCAGCGAAAAAATACGGCATTCCAATTTTGAAAAACGCCTGCGATCAGTACTTGAGACAAAATGTTGCTGCTGACAACTGTCTGGCTTGGTTTGTGCAGGTATCTTTTTGTTTAGTGAATTGGGCTACATAGATGGATTGCAAATTGCCCATGACATACATATATTATAGTACAAATGTTGAGTTGCTGTCCTATGCAGGTGAACGTAATTAACTTAAAATCGCAGCATTACCACTATCAGGCGGCTGGACCAGTGTATTCATCTTATTTGATTGAACCATGGATATTAGAAGTTTACCTAGTCTGTATTAATTTGCGCCTGATATTTCACCTAGGCAAAACTGTACGATGAAACCGACTTGGAAAACTTCTGTTTGGAAAAGATTGATTTATGGGCAGCATCCGTACTGCAGTCTGCAGATTTCCTGGAAATTGATTTGGACGTTTTGATAATTATCCTGCGCCGTGACACTTTAAAGGTCAAAGAAATGGATGTATATAATGCAGTTACGAAGTATGTATGTGGTAGTACGTTACTGTACGTACGCTTTGCACACGCTATACTCGTACTGAACAGCGAGCTACTAGAACAATTGTACGTGTGTGCATTTGTCCATAAACCACACGCTGTAGCCTAATTTTATCGGTTGGCTACAGTAGATCGGGTAACTACTACACTCTAGAGATCGATCTTAGAGCGAATTTCGAAAAAATTCTAGTTTTATTTTATAAATTTTAGATGGGCAAATCATCAATGTGAGCTGAAAAAACTTGAACTAACCGGAGCCAACCAGCGGTCGGTTTTAAAGGATGCACTGTTTCTGATTAGATTCCCCAATATGGCATCTGAGGAAGTTGCTAGTGGACCAGCCAAGGTGTGTTTCATAATGTTTATAATTCTTATGTTTACCACTCTGAACGCTTTATAAATTTATCGAGATTGGCCATGATATTATTTATGCCATGAGCATTTTCTGAATGCACCATTTACAAGGTCAATATCGAGTGCTCTGAACACTGTGAGCTGCTAATTTACTTTGCAGTCGGGCTTACTAACGGCCGAAGAAATCAGCCAACTTTTTCAGTTTTGGTTTGCTAAAACAGCGTTACCCGAGAAATTTATCAGCCGAGTAAGAGTCGGCAGCCACACGGAAGTAACAGTTTCTCGGTTTGACAACACGTGTAGCTCGTCCTGGACATACATGCCCGGTTTTCCCGATGTAATTAAGTAAGTTTCAATTGTCAGCTACCCTGCATCCGTATATACCGGGCAATATATATAAGTAACCATGAATAGGTTTTCGGTTGCGCCTACGATATCCCGCGTCCGGGCAGTGTCCAAAATTGGGATGGTTGCAGAACTGGTACAGCGTTACTTTGCTATCCCTCATAATTACACGACCAAATAGTGAAGATATTTGCTTCACTCATGGACCACAGTCAACAATTTCTGTATTCACAGAACACGGAGAAGGTTAACTTGGTTGCTGTTGGTTTATTTGTCCAAAGTCCACTTCCAAGCGGCGTTGCGTGTACAGCGTGCATCAAGATATTCGCTTACGAAAAGGCCGACGTTCATATATTTGGTGGCCGCAATGACCTGGCACCAAGAGAACTGGAAGATTTCCGCCAAACGTGGACCATTCCCAGCAGCACCAATTCAACTACTGCAAAATTTAAACTGGACAAACCCTTTCCGGTTGTGTTTGAAAAACAATACGCTTTATCAGTGCAGATTACAGTAAGTGTGGTGTTCTTCAAATAACAAAACCCGAAATATGTAAAACGTGGGATTTGCACTAGCATGATAAAATAAAACTGAATTGCAGGGCATGCAAAAGTCCTTTTATGGCATAAACGGGAAAACACCAGTAACCACTTCTGGAAAATGTTCACTCTCAGTGCAGTTTTTCAGCGCTCTTGATCCAGAATGTATGCATATTATCATAAAACAAATCCGTTCATTTGTATGTATATGACCTGCATACATGATACAGTCTTAGATACAGTAGCTTCTGGTTAAATCTGCACGCTAAAAATCGGACTTTTCATGGTGTAGATGAACGCCAACGATATGACGGCTACCACTCGTATAACCAAAGGCAAATTGGCTACAATCCAAGTACCGGAACTAGTACATGCGGAACAACAACTGTTGATAATGGACAATTTCCTCATCTCTATTTTGAAGTAACTTAATCCTTTGTCATCACGAGTTTCACCGGATTTTGTACAAAAGTTCTTCGTAAAACCGACGTTCACGCTGCTGTTTTTATTGCAGTCTTGTACTCTTGTGTTATTCTTTATGGTCCGTTCTTATTGTTAAATTTCACTTTTTGAACTCTTCCGGAAAATAAGTCCTTCATTATTCATCTACTGTACAGAGTTCGATTGCTGCAATAAACTGAAATAAAGCCGTTTGTTCCTTTTTTTATTGTGGCCAGTGGCTATATAAAGAGCGGCATGAATCTTTTTGTAATTTGCTATAAAAATTAATATTAATTAACGTGCGCTTCCTCGCGCAGATGCCAGTGCGTCAAACTAGAGGCTAATACTTCTACTTCTGTACATTAATTTGGTTTAAACCGTTGAAAAATGAAAGCAGACTGCGTAGTCCATTCCTGCGCAGTCCATTCCTGCGCAGTCTAACTGAGTCAGACCGGTGCTTCAACCAACAGTAACACACTAGTCATGACGGCAATGGTCGCTCGTCAGCCACCCGGCCCTGAGCCACCGTGGAGCGCTACGATGCATTGGTCAATCGATGCATTGGTGCATTGCGTTGATGCATTGGTCAATCGATATGCGTACGTGTCATCCTTAATACCTTTGCCAAGGCACCTGAAGGAGTTCGCGGCTGCCAGTCTCTCCAGTCTACGGTCTGTTGTTCGCGTTAGAGGTTGTACGTCGAATGCTGAAAATTCAAAAACTAGGCTACCGGTTCTGCGTTTTGTTACAACCCGAAATGCGAGCATCCAGAGCGAGCTTCCCTGATTGCCGAAGGCACGGTATTATGCTTCAGCCTGCGTCGGATTCGATAGATGGATTTAAGCATAGTATTACTAAACCATACTAGTTCATGTCAAACGCAAGAAGGTATAACAAAGGTATCCGGTCTTAATCCAATTCAGCACAAAACTGCACATTGACTGAACGGAACCGGAATTCGGGCATATTTTTCCATTTTTAAGATGAATTTTGAAATCTTTGAAATTCGTTTTAAACTTTGAGAAACATGATGGAAACTTAATTTCGTGTCGGAACGATCCATAATTGGTACACCTCCGTGCGCTTAAACTTTGGGAATTTTATTTCAACCATAACTTCTCAGCCGAATGTTGGGCCCACAAACGGTTTTCACAATATTGCTTCGTAGGTTCTTGAGTTCCTTATTTTTTTCGCTTTCTTAGTTTTCTCTGGTTTCCTGAAATTTTTCGTAGGTTTCTGCCAAGTCCAATCAAAAATTTGTCGAAAATTTGTTGAAAAGAAATGTCTTTTCGTCGAAGCATGGCGGCGAAATGTTTCGGCATCGAAATGGCGTTGCATCTAATTGACCTTAATGTCTCGCGTCGTAATGTCCTGGCGACTAAATGTCCCGCGACGAGATGGCCTTCCTCGGCGAAATGTGCGCAGCCGAAAGTCCCTCGACTAAATGTCCTCGGTGAAATGTCGCAGTGCTACGGAAACTGAAGATTACGACCAAGTCGAATAGTACAAAGATATGCTACGCTTTCAATGAAAGTGTCGAAGAAACTGGGCATAAGCCGCGCTTGATCAGGAAAACTGTTTGTTTTTTAAGCTTACGAATACTGTATGGAGAATCTGAAACGCTACGCCACCGGTCAGAAATGTCAGAAGCCCGCACCCCCGCGGTTTCGACGATTTCGCCTTCATGCTATGTGCACCCGCAGACGATGGCAGTGCCCATCATGGTCGCTTCGAATCCACTTACTCATCCTGCATCCTTTATTTGCACAGACCAATCGCGTCTCAGCTGCTAATCTATGCCGAGTACGAGTGTTTTCCTTGCCATGCGGCTCACAGTCAGCGGATGTGCGAGTTTTCGCTAATCACTTGCAGTCATGCACCAGCTGATTTTCACGGACTGAAGACGAACGACACCGCTAAATTAATAGGTTGTGATGGTTCCTTGTAGATTCGGGTGGATTTTTGTGCCCTTTATTGTTCGATCAGCTCTTAATAAAGTCTTTTTAGGCCTCCTTTTCGGAAGCGGCTCAGTTTGTCAGCACCGTTCTGAAGAGAACCGAGAAAGCAGTTCTGTTTTCGCACTTTGGCAACCATTGCGTCACGATGGACTCTAATGCTCATGCTGCGGAGCCAATTTGGGGATGGCAGAGTCAGCAGTCCACGATTGCCAACAGAGCCAAACACATTTTTGGGAAGGAGATTCTGAGCGATGTCACTTTTCGGATCCAGCAACCCAACAGCCCCACAGTCGACATCAAAGCGCACAAGTAAGCTACAGTGTTCAGTTGAGCAATTTAGAGTACTGGCAGTTCAGTAATTTAGAGGAAAACTGTAAGATACTGACTAAAATGATGTTCGAAAATCCAACGTATTACATATATGACAAAACAAAAGCTGCTTAATGCTTATCAACAAGTTGCAAGTTCTCAGAAACCCGCGTTCGTAAATTACTGGATTTTGCAGATTTCTCCTGGCCATGGGCAGTGCGGTGTTTGAAACGATGTTTTACGGCGCTATGAAAGAGACTGCAAACGTCGTTAAAATTACTGACATGGACTCAGAGACACTCAAAATCGTTTTAAGGTACCGTGCGCTTACCCTGAATGCTGTAGTGTACACGGTTATTGCAATCAGACATGCGACTGATGTTAATAGTGTTGTAAAATTGGTAAAATTAATGGCAGGTACATTTATTACGATCAAATTGGACCCTTCAACAAATCAACCGCATTTTCGACTCTGTATGCCGCGAACAAGTATGGTATCCCACACCTGAAGGACGCTTGCGAACAGTACTTGCGACACAATGTGGCTGTCGATAATTGTCTGGCTTGGTTTATTCAGGTGAGTACGTTGCACTTAATGGGTTGGTTTGTTTTGAATGCTTTGTTTTTATTGACAAATGGTTCAGAACTTCAAAGTATAGTCTAACTTGTAAACTACTTAGCCTTTTCTCCATAACGGATGCATTTTAACTGTACATTCAAACAGCGGATCCCTGATAGTACAAAAACCAAAAACTGGGTTTGTGACATCAGGACTGATGATCGACATGTCTATGTGCAAAGATAAAGGTGAAGCTTTTGCCAATGTAAGACAGTTAATTTTAATTTTTTTACTAACAGAAAATTTTAATACGTGGGTGATTCGTTGTTCAAAAAGTGAACATCGTCCGTTGTTCAGAAAATTCGAAGTACTGTATGTATCCCTGCTCTTAGCCAGCGCTAGATTCGTAACCTTTAAGTTGTTTGAATGATGGATGTTCGACTTTGCGATACTTAACTAGGCGCGGGTGTACGACGAAACCAGCTTGGAAAACTTTTGCTTGGAGAAGATTGATTTATGGGCAGCATCTGTACTGCAGTCCGCCGATTTCCTGGAAACTGACTTGGAAGTGTTGCAAATCGTTTTACGTCGCGACACTCTAAAGGTCAAAGAGGTGGATGTGTGCAATGCCGTTATGAAGTATGTACAGCATTATCTTCTTGACATGCAGGCGTTGAGAGTTACTCTAGCCGTTCGTTTTGGCGTGGTTATCTACTGAACCTTGCTTGTGAGCGTTCCTAACTGAACATCTTGAAGTCGATTTCGACAAATTTGTAAGCTTTCTGCAAATCCTAGATGGGCCAAGCATCGGTGTGAGCAGAATAAACTTGATCCTACCGGAGCCAACCAGCGGTCGGTTTTAGGGGATGCCCTGTTTCTGATACGATTCCCTGTAATGACGCCCGAAGATGTTGCAAGTGGACCAGTCAAGGTTCTAAATATCTAGCGTGTCTATAATGTTTACCGATTAAGCAATTCTTTTTCAATGCATTACTTACATAATTTATATGGTTTGCGCATTATGTAAATACCAATTTTTAAGGTTTTTGGTGACCAGTCAATATAACAACGTACAATCTAGAATGCTTGAGTTCGACAGAAAGTCAGCTTACTCATTCGTTCTAATTTACGATGTTCATTTACGTACTTTGCAGTCGGGCTTGTTACTGGACAAAGAAAGTAGTCAGCTTTTTCAGTACTGGTTCGCCAAAGCACCATTGTCCCCGCAATTCAGAAGCAGCCTACGGGTCGGGAGCCATACAGAGGTCTCCAGGTTTGGCAGCACCACCAGCAACTCGGCAGCGCAATCTTGGGAGTACAGAGCCGGTTATCCCGATGTCATCAAGTATTCACTGTCTCGCATATGACTGACAGAAGCAAAACACTGACAGCCCGCTGTGACGTTTTTAGGTTTTCTGTCACCTCCACCCCAAAATCGCACAATGCAGACTCGGTACAGCCTTACCTTAATACATGCACTTGTACATATAGAAGTACCTGTTTTTCACGATTGGTTGACTAGATAGCGAAGCTTGTTTAATCACTAAAGGACAACAAATTTTATATACTCACAGAGTGGGCTGTCGATTAACCTGGCTGCTGTTGGTTTGTTCGTGCAAAATCCACTTCCTACCGGCGTCGTGTGTACTGCAACCATCAGAATCTATGTTTATGAAAATACCCTAGTTCGTGGGTATTACAAAGACCAGCCAAGAGAACTGGAAGAGTTTCGCCAAACATGGACCATTCCGCACCACACGAACTCAAACACTGCTAAATTTGAGCTGAAAAAAGCCTTTCCGGTAGTGCCCAGTACCCAGTACGCCTTATCACTGCAGATTGCAGTAAGTGGATAGCAGAAACTAATGTGCAACTTGCAAGCATGGGAGTGGTAAAATTAATAATGATGTTGAATTGATTTTAGGGCATGCAGCAGTCTTGTTTTGGTACAAACGGGAGAGGTGGAGTAACCGCGTATGCTGCAAATTGTTCGCTCTTGGTGCAGTTCTCCGATGGTCTGGATCCAGAATGTAAGCATGCCGCAAAAGGGTGTCATTAATGTTTTGTGCAGCTTTAAAGGCTGGTTGTGCATGCTGACAATCGGAATTTTTATATTTTAGATGAACGCAGACAAAATAATGCCGGATACTCTTGTAACAGAGACGTTGGCTATAACGAAGCGCTCCGAAGCTATGAATGCGGGACCACAACTGTTACTAGAGGACAGTTTCCTCAGCTCTATTTCGAAGTGGCCTAAACATTTGGCATCAAGAGTGTTTGCACCGGATTTTGTAGATACGTTCTGTATAAGCTCAAGGTTCACTCTGCTTTTTTGCTGCATCCTTGTGTTATTCTTTTTGGTCCTTTGAACTCCTTTCGTATCGCTAAATTTCGGTTTTCGAACTGTTGCGGAAAATAGGTGCTTCATTCGTTTTAAAAGTGCGATTACGCGTAAACTGAATAAAACCCTCTGTTCATTTTTAATGGGGCTACCTGAAGAGCGACAAGTATAATGTATGACAAAAAGAAGTCTATGGCTCGTTTAGCACATACTGCGCAGACAAGCGCTTCTCTGTTCGAGCCCAGTGCTGGCGCCTGGCGATTGTGATGCGAACTCGGTTTTCTCGTTCTCCGTATGAACCTTGAACATTGAACATTGCACTGATACATTTGTTCGGTATATAATGAACGCTACAGTCAGCATCTGCTACCATTAGAATTTCGAAACATGATGTGACAGCAAACAATAATTGCTAAGCTTGCATCTTTTGGGTCCCGTTTGAAATATACTTACTTTATAAACTACAAGCATGGGAAACCACAACGACACAACAATGTCATTATCAGCAGTAACAATCGACTTACTCCCGCCGCCAGGTCATTCTATGTAAAGATCATGAGTCTTCCGTGTCATTAGCAAAATCATAAGTATTCAACCCAGTAACCCAGCTGCATGGCCAAGAGTTTTGGTCTGTTCAAAGAACGGTACTATCCAAAACGCATCCGGCAATTTCCGGCTTACAAAGAATAATTTTGGAATTTTTTGGGTTATCAATTAATGTGAATACGTTGGCAGCCGAAACGGATTCTCACGCCCAGTATATGTAAACTAATTTTGTAGGAGGCGCCTAACGGTTGTTTCCTTAAGGATATAGTAAAGGTCAACATGCCTGTTCCAAGACTTCTTCTTATACGGGCACGTGCATGATAGCTGATCACATGCGCCGCAAACAGGATTCATTGTTTGTTTAAAGCATCCTAAATTTAATTGTCACATTACAGACTGATTTCCATCAGAGTCTGTCGGTAAATACAAATTGCGTTTTCAGCGGAAAAAGATGCCCTCGATGAGAAAGCGTGCAAGAGAGGAAGTAGCTAGGGCTGCTGGTTGACTTGAGACCGCTCCACAGAAATCCCATGCCGGGATTAAGAGCGGGTGTATCTGTACATTATAAAGAGACCGTGGTACATTATTACCAAGTCTGGCGCCAGTAGCCAAGCACACCTTTGGGAATTGGGATACTGATGTTTGACCGAGTTTTAGTTGAATGATTTCGCTTCTCACTTAGCTTGCGGATATTATAATCACTCGTCACAGACCTTCCCAGAGCCTTTACTATTTGCAAAGTTGGGAAAATTTTCAGCCGCTGCAAAAAAAAAACTTTGCGACGCGGAACAAAAGTTATTGTTTCGTCGCTGAAGACTGAAAATAACCCGTAATGCTACCACGAGGCTGCAGCGGTTAAATACGACTGTGGTGGATCTATCAACAAACACATCGTTGTGGATCGAACTCTCCTTATCAACCATGATCCTGGTTACAAATCTTCCACTGCTGGTCGTCTTTTTCGCTCACAAGCAGCTCCAAAACGCTTTCAGCGTCTACATCGTTTCCCTATTGACCTTTAATCTTCTCACTTACTGCATAATTGGGAATCCGGTGGAAATGTACAGAAAAGCCGTTGCCAATGAGTGGGTCGTGGGCTTGACGGCTTGTATCGTTAACATCTTTGCTAACTGAGTGACAACCGGAATGTCCGCTTATTGCCATTTTTTGATTGCTGCTAACCGCGTGTGGGCTATTGTGTCACCGGTAACGTATCGTGGAAGGCACACGAAAAAATTAGCGATTGCGTTGTGTATTGGTGTATTCATGATGCTCCATATCCTCTGCATTCCGAACATTGTGTGCAATCAACTACATTGCAGCTCGATACCAGATTACTGCGGATTAAATGATTCCAGTACGGTGCAAGCTGCCTGCATTTTCGCTAATTTCTTCGTCGTTCGACATTCCGGCAATTGCAGTGATAGGCGTCTGCCCATTCATCCTGTATAACGCTTTTCAACGCCGCAGTGGAGAGCGTCAGATTAGCGATTTCAACGGGCACCGCAGTGAACACTCAGGGATTCATCGCGTGCACTTTTCACCTTAACAGTTATGACGCTAAGTCTCCTGGTTTGCTGGGGACCTAATAAATGGTACTGGACAATTAATTTCTTTTCCGCATGAAGCGTCCATCTTGGCTTTACCTCGGCCAGCTGCACAGTGCACACTCTACAAGCTGTTGTGGATCCGATAATCTTTGGTTTCTGTCTGCCTGATGTCCGACAGCATTTGCTACGGTTTTTCACATTTAACTGGAAAACGCGAATTCAAACAGCGAGTTAGCGAGTAGCCAATATAGAATAGTTAAAATCTGAAGTCGATGGTTTATTACTACAGATCCTTTATACTAAAAGAATAAGAAGTGCTCAAAATTCAACTGCGGGGAGTCAGCCTGAATGATACACTGACCAAACTTCGATTCATGGTATCATTTGATAGCTCACACTCTGTAGTAGAGCCATCAAAAGTCAGATCTTAGAAAAAGAATACCAGCTTTCAAGGAACTTACAAAAACCTAACATACAAAGTTTACGGGAATTGCTCAACCACATGTTCGAAGTGACTGCTGAATAAAGCTAAGTAGCTGGCCCACCGTGGGCGCATGCGCTATGTTAAGTACTAGCTCCTGAAATTATGTTTCCCAGCATTACACTAATACACTTCACAATCACATTACCCAGTATTGCGAACCGTTGGAGCAACTAAATGCTGCTTTTTTATGTGCTCCTTTGAGGTACTTTCTTTCTCTACTTCCCACGTGTGCTCCGTTTGAGTTTTGTAATATACTGTTAACCCGTGATAATGCCACGACCAAAGAAAAGTTTGACTGAAGGCGAAAGTTGCGGAATCGACACGACAGACTGTCAGTCAAACTTGCACAGTGCCAAGAAACCAACAGGCTTCCCAACTAGGAGGTAACGTAAAATCATCATTTTTTAGATTGTGTTGATAATCTGATGAATTACGCAGCTTAATTCCAGACGAAGGCCAGCGATTTCATCCAGTAACTGCTGCACCATCGGAATGCGCTTCATGATCACAGATAAGTACGTTATAAATGGGTCGCGAGGTCGCGTAAACAATTTACTGTATTATGCCAAAAAACAACAGGGTGTTCAAATTGAAATTTTGTTTCAGTATGCAGCCCAAGTTCTGGGACTCCTTCCTTTCGCCGAACGAACGACAATTTACCTTCCACTCTTCACGAAGCCAATGAGCCCACTGAAAGAGAGAACCCATAGCATTGAGTCATCGGCGCGTTCACTATGGCTGGGCAGTGAATTTTAAAAGGGGAGTCTGATGTTCCCTTACATTCCCTCGGTCTGATGGACTTAATCTGTCCTTTATTGTGATGCCTACAGTTTTCCAAATGAAAAAAGTTCAAGTGCTGCCACAAAGGGAAAGTGCAGCTAGCTGGATTATCAAGTGCCGGATAAAATCGTTGAACTGTGACGGTCGCACTATGAGTCAAACAATTATCGCGATCACATCTTAGAGTTTAATTCTGCAATGCATTTGCTTCCTTTGGTGCAAATCTGTCTCCCCACCTGACACGGACCATTCATTCATTCCGCATACACGGACAGGCGCATCATTTTATGGGAGCAGCGCTGCCTCTTCACGGAGCATCAGCCAAATATGCTAGCCTGTATTTTATTGATTCAGATAAAAGCTTCAACCTGCGTGTGAACCGAGCTGAAAATTCACAATGTAATCCAGCGATTATGGCAAAAATTCAGGAAACGTTGGCCGAATGCAACCCTTATGCTCATTTATTTCGCCATATGGGTGAAGTGTATCGCGACAGTGAGATGCTGCCTGCTGAAATGCGCGATATTTCTCTGGTACTTTAAAGGCAACGGAAATGATCCCCGCCGGTACAATGATCCACGGTCTGGCGAAGTTGCAGCAGTATTCGTGTTCCGGATGGTGAACCACCTGTTGAGCGAGGATATTGTAGTTTACACGAAACAGCAGCACCTCTCCGATTTCACCGCTCAGTCCACATTGTGATCCGATGGTGTACCCTTTGCTTTTCCCGCTGGAGAATACGGCTGGCATCCCTCCTTGGCTCATGATCCGCTGTACAGCACCGCTAAGCAAGCGTATTACCCAGTTACAATTTATTCTTATCGACTGGCGATTCGTTCAAACTTTAGCGTACTGCATGCATCTGGAAAATTGTTTCAGCAGTATATTGTCGATGCGTACGTACGCGTCGAAGGCAGCCGATTGCAGTTTATCCGTTTGAATCAAAACATTGCGCGCGGAATCCTATGCCGGTCTGTTAGATCATATAAACACTGTCGCCGAAGACAACAACATCGCTGCCGGCAGGGTTGTTTTACCATCTACATTCATTGAAGTCCACGGAATATGTACCAGAATTATCAAGACG